CATGATTACCTTTCATTTTGATTTTCACAGCTTTTTGTTGTTTCAGTTCAACACCCAACACATCATAGAGGGCCGTCAACTCAATTAGGGCTAAATGGCAAACTTTCTTCATGTCCTGGGGTGCGAGGTCACCAATCCTTGTGGTGCCTGTTTTGTCTTTTGGCAATCTGAAATTCTAAAATAAATACCATGAATATAGTAAAGGTTTACTGTACTGAATCCCTTTTGTAAGGCAAGAAGAAAAAATAAATGTAACTACAGAAAGAAGTTATACTCAGAATAAGTGACTACAAGCCACGGTAGAACTTCTCCAGGAAGACTGAAGAGCCATCCTGTCATAAAGATGGTCCCCAAAGCTGTGGGGAGTTCAAAAGTCAACAACCAAAGTCTGAAAGACAATGGAACCAGACGGTGTGCTGGGAGTACCCACGTCAGTGGCTCAGAGGACAAGAGAGACAGTGAGGCCAAAGCAGAAAAAAACTTCTAGTTCCCTGACCTTCAAGAACCAAGGAAAGTTAAAAGTCAAACCCTAACCATGATGGGGGTAGAGGAGGAGGAAGACTGAGGGGAGGTGAAAGAAGAGGAGGAAGAGAAAGAGGAATAGTAACCATGAGTGTGTGCTGAGAACGGGACAAGTACCCTTTACATACATTACACATCTTTTATTTGTCACACACACACAAAAAAAGACAAGTAAGATTAGTACAGAAAGGCTACATAGCATTGGGGGAGGGGAAGGGGGACAAAGGGGCAGCTAAGGGCAGGGACTTTAGAGCCAGAATGTCTACTAGTCATCTAGCCACTTACTAGCTGTGTGACTTATGGCAATGACCTAACCTTTCTTTCTATAAAATGGGAGGAGGAGGAGGAGGAGGAGGAGGCCACGTAGTTCAGAGGGCGGCTGTAAGGTTTAAATGCCCAGCACTTCCCAAGAGGTGGTTGCTATTACAGGTTGAGCATCCCTTACCCCCGAAATGCTTGGGACCAGAAATTTCAGATTTCAGGTGTTTTTCAGATTTTAGAATATTTCCATATGTATATATCTTGGGGATAGGACTCAAGATTAAACACATAATTCATGTATGTTTCATATACACATAGGCTGATGGTAATTTTATAAAATATTTTCACTAATTTTATTTCATGCACAGAAAAAAGTACTTATGTGTGGAATTTTCCACTTATGGTATCATGTCAGCACTCAAAAAGTTTCGGATTTTGGAGCATTTAAGAATTCGGGTTTTCAGATTAGGGAAGTTCACCTATATTATTACTTTTACCAGTGAATAAACTGAGACTTTAAGATATTACTCAGGACCACAGGCAAATAAGTGGTGCATTTGTTTTTTGCCTTTCTCATATACCATCTACTACCTATTCAGCCTCTTTTAACATTAAACACATTAAATATAAGAAAACAAACCACAGGGTAAAAACATGAATTTCCCTAACATATGTAATACAAATTACAGCCCCATTGTGTTTATCCACTACTAAAACAATGATCATTCTCTAGGAGTTTGGGTTTGCCCTTGACTTTCTCATTAAATTGCTTATTAACTGATTCAACTGATTCCATTTTGTTCCCTTTGCTTTGCTGATTTTTGTCCCATATCATTAACACCTCATGGTCAAAGCACTAGGGAAAAAGACATGTCTAAAGCAGTAATTCTCAAAGTGTGGTCCGGGGACCCATGGGAGCACCCAATACCCCTCCGAGAAGTGCAAGAGGTCAAAACTATTTTAATAATTAGCACTAAGACATTATTTTGCCTTATACACTCCCATTGTCTCATGAGTGTAGAGTGCAGTTTTCCAGATGTGGCGTATGCTATTGCAACAGAACAAATGCAGACGTGAATATGAGAATACAACTGACCTCCACTGTAGCCAGACATTAGAGACTTGTTAAAATTAAAACCATGCTACACTTGTTTCAGAAAATATGGCTATTTTCCATTTTTAAAAGGTATCTGTGTTAATTACAATATTATTACTTTAAATGGATTAGTTTTTTTTTAATTTCTCAATTTTAATTTCTGATCTGGTAAATATCCATACTATAACCTACATACACAAAAGCTTTTTGAGGTCCTCAATAATTTTTCGGAGCATAAGCACTGTGAGGCCAAACTGTCTGAGAGGCACTCTCCTAGAGCAATTCCTTAAACCTACAACTTTTGGTAATTGAGCAGCTAATTCTTTTCAAGCAAACTCAGCTCCAAGAGAGCCTTCAAGTCCAACGTAAGAGAAAAGGTGTCTTTCTTAACTTTTTGTAATATATTTTTTTTTTCCTAGAGAACATTAAATAAAACAGCAATAGATATCATTGAAGACGGAGCCTAAGTGACTTTCCAGCAGCAGCAGGGATGGCCTCCGTGGTGTAGCGCACAGGAGTTAAAGTGGAGCCACACTGCAGGGGCAAATCCTGTCTTCATCACGTTAGCTCTGCTCCCTATGTCACCGTCTGTGCCTCAGCCTCTTTGGTTGTGGTGAGGACCAAATGGCACATAACACTCAAGAAATATTAAGTTATTATTACTATATTTTTTCACACAGCTTTTTAAATAATGTCAACATTTCGTGGGTTCCCTTTTCTCCTATATATTATGGCAAGGTAAGAAAAAAATAAGGATAGTACTCATATTTGATAAGTGGTTTCACATTACATTCCACAAAAGTCACAACAGGTTAAGAATTATTATGGCATAATCGAGGTGGGGAAACTGAGGCTCGGTAAAGAGGCTTAATGATGGCCACACAGACGGCAATGTAGCAAGATACAAATTCTGATCTTCTAAATCCTAAGTTCAGTAACCGTTCTGTTCTACTCCATGTTCCCCTTCCACCACGGTAGGCAGGGAGAGATCTAGGTTGATGGGTGTTGATGTGTGTTGTGTGGGTGGGCCACACCTTAATCACCTCTGTAACCCCACTGCACCGTAGACCGGGCACACGACAGGTGCTTTGTCATGGTCTACTGGATGAACATCCTACAGGGACAGAAGCACAGAATCAAACTCAGTGAGGTGAAGGGGCCACTGGCTTGATGTTCTCCTGATTTTCTGTGATTTGTACTGAGCTGCAGTTTACAAATCAAATAAAACTCGTCACATTTCTCTTATGCTTAGCCAGATATTTCGGCTAATGGTTTTGTTTTCTGAACGGCTGAACCAACCATATTTATCATCATTTTTTTTTTTAAAGTCCTAAATGTTTCATTAAAATCAGTTGCTTTTGGTCTAATAAGCCAAACACATGTAATACAATCATCGAAAGCATTACCCAAGGTAAATGTTTAGAGAAACCTGAAATATTACTAACTCAAACATTTGATTTACCTAGCAATATATGTCATGAGCTTATTTATTTATTTATTTAAACATTGTGCTTAATGAAGAAGTTAGTTCTTTAACCCAATGTTTAATTCATAGCAGCAGCCTTAAATATTTATGAAGTTTCCTGCCGTTTTTTTGTTTAGTTAATAGACCGAATGGTTCACAGTTCGTTGGCTAAGAGAAGGTAGTGGAATTTCAGCAAGAGAAAAGTTCTTTACCTTTTGAAAAATGTGTTTAAAGAATCAAATGTTTTTCAAAAAAATATAAGGTCATTGGTTCCCGCATGTTACCATACATTAACTAGGTAGCTTTTCACGACTGTACCCGTCTATTATAGGACTTGCGATACAAGGAGCCCTCAGGCACTTCATCAGTAATGACGAACTTGATTTTTTTTAGTCATCAAATCACTCTAGCTTTGACTTGAAAAGCAAGAGAAAAAGCTTCAAAAGCTTAGTCATTAAAGTCAAGCCTCAGCACGTCATGTAATCTAATTTGTTTCCCTGCATAAAAAATAGGGTTAAGAATATCTACCTCATAGAGATCATTTGATAAATAAATATTTACGGTGCATACTTTCTGAGCTATAATGTGTATACAATAAACAGTAGCTAAATTTTCAAACTAAAGCACATTGAAGGTTATAAAACCTGCTCTCCAAATTTAAGAGGAGAAATTTGAATCCACTGTGAGAGATCATAAAGAATTAACAAAGACTGAGCAATGCTGTAAGAAAAGGCAGTGAATATGTAATGAGATCAACAGAGAACGATGTATTACATGAAGCCTACTGCTTATTTACAGAAGCAGGCCAGCATGGAGTAGAAACGGAACTTGAGGTTTTATCTGCTTAGACACCTGCCTCAGAGTAGCGAATACAAATATTCATGTCACCAACCAGATGAAGGACTTGTAGAATCTTTACAATGTTCCCATGCCTTCTAGAAGAGCTTTTTTAAAAACGTTATATAGATGAATAGATGCATAGATACATAAATAAGTGAATAGATTGATAAGTGTCAAAAACATGTAACTTAATAGCTCAAAAGATATTTTTATATATCTTATCTAATAAAAGTTCACAATCAGGAAAGACTTAACAGGAAAGCTAGACATTCAGCTAGACTCTAAAGGATAGATTAAGGTTTCCTTGGCAAATATGGAACAACAGAGGGGTGGAAATGGAGAGGCCATTTTACACTTGGGGCACAACATGGAACAAAATCAAGAGGGCAGGTGGACACAAATTAGTTTGTTAAACAGAGAATAAAATAGCAGAGGCTAGGGGCACAGTGGCTCCTGCCTGTAATTCATAATCCCAGCTACTCAAGAGGCTGAGGCAGGAGGATTACTTGAGGCCAGGAGTTTAAGACCAGCCTGGGCAACATAGCAAGACCCCATTTCTAAAAAAATAAAATACTTAGCCGGGCATGGTCATGTGAGTCTGTAGTCCCAGCTACTCTGGAGGCTTCGGCCCAGGAATTCATCCAGCCTTGGGGGACAAAGCGGGACCCTGTCTCTTAAAAAAAAAAAAATGGCAGAGGATGTCTTGTTTTGAAACCTCTTAAGTGGAGATTAATTATTCCATTGTTTGAGTCAACAACTTAAAACTCAACAATGTCTTCATTCTGTTTAATTACATTTTACTATCCTTCAATTTAAAATGTTTCCATCTTTTGAGATGAAGACTATCACTTCAAAAGCATACTTTCCTAAGGATTGTCTGGAGTGTGGATCATCACTTTAGGCCAAATTTTGCATATCCCTTTACCTGTTCCACTAGGTATAAAAAAAGATTTTTAAAAACATATGAGAAAGCCTGAAAACAATTCAGATGTCCATCATTAGGGGATTGATTGAATAAATTATGATACATCCTCACGATGGAGTACAATGTACATATTAATATAAAAAGGAATGAGAAATATTTCTCTACTATTATGGTATGATCTCCGGAATATACTGCTAG